ACACCCCCACCCCCCCCCCCCCCCCCCCCCCCCCCCCCCCCCCCCCCCCCCCCCCCCCCCAAACAAAAAAAAAAAAAAAAAAAAAAAACTGTCCGTCAAATCTTTCCGAAAAAACCGCTCAAACTTCTAAGTCCCAGAGGCGGTTACCCTGTAAAAAAAACTTTTTTTTATTTTTTTTTATTTTTTTTTTATTTTTTTTATTTTTTTCAATTTTTTTTTATTTTTTTATTTTTAATTTTTTTTTATTTTTTATTTTTTTTATTTATTTATTTATTTTTTTTTTATTATTTTTTTTTATTTTTTATTATTATTTTTCATTATTATTTTTATTTATTTTATATTATTTTTTATTATTTTTCATTATTTTTTATTATTTTTCATTATTTTTTATTATTATTTTTCATTATTATTTTTACTTATTTTATATTATTTTTTATTATTTTTTTAAATTTTTATTTTATTTTTAAATATCGGTCATTTTTCAAATTGACCACTTGTAAGGTTATTGTCATTTTGGTTGATTATGTAAGCATATGGCTGCAAGGCTAGGGGCTGCAAGGCTAGGGGCTGCAAGGCTAGGTGTTGCAAGGTTAACGGCTAAAGGCGCTAAGCAAATGCATCCAATCAAAACACATTACCGGTGCAAGGGCTAAAAGCGATGCACCCAATCAATCAATTTTAAGGTGCAAGGGTTAAAAGGGATGCACCCAATAAAAACACTCGGATGGTGCGGGGGCGATGCGGGGTGCGGCCAATCAGATTTGTAGGTGTTGGGTCTTATCAGCTTATCGGGGTCTTATCAATGGTCTTATCAATTTCCGGGTATTTTTTACGTAAGCACATACAATTTCTTATCAATTACCTTATCAATTACCTTATCAATTACCTTATCAATTAAAAAAGTTTGAGCGCAATATTCCTTCGGAAAGATTACGTATTAGACTTATAAATTCAAGAAATTAGTAACAGGTACTTAAACGTGCTATCCCTTCAACTTGATAGAAAGTTCCTGGAAGTTGTACATACCTATGTATGTAAGTACTTGTAGGAGATGTGCGGGGAAACTGCTGCTTATCAATTATCTGAGCCACAAGGCTACCGATGCTAACTTACTACACTAGCCTCTATGCTTCCAAGTTCCATCACTTCTAGATCCGAGGCCCGTGCACAATTGCCGCTGTCTTTTCATGGGATGTTTTCCCCATTCAACATCAAAACCTCCACTCGTGACAAACTTCCATCAGCATTCGGAGGACCACGTCACGACACGATTTAGCACCTCCCAACACGGCGCGTACTCGGCGGTGTCGGTTTCTGTATACGCCGGTCAACAATAAGTAAGTGCTGTCGCGTCACCGGCAGTTTGATTCTTCGCGACAACATCATTCGGCGGTATCTTACTTAGATTCTCCCTTTTTTTTTATTCACTACCTTGGTCCAGCAAATACACTCCACCGGGACCTAAAAGGAAAAGGCTAGGTCTCTTTAAGTGCTAGAAGAGCTTGAAGGTCATATTTTTGGTCACTTTGCCTTCGCCTTCTGGCCAGATCATAGATCAACCCAGCTCCGTAGAAGCCATGATTGTCTGAAGAGTTTCTGCTGCCAATTTCTAAAGTCGCAACGTAGACTCAGACTCTCTCGCAACACCAAGCAACTAAATACCTGTGCTGCAACTTGACCTGCATTCTCCTGATTTGAGCTTCACCGATTCTCAATATGTCTGGTAAGCGTACCACCCGCCATAGTTCTGCGACAAGCAGCTCGGCGCAAGTCCTAGTTGACGCACGCCAAAGTGCTCGTCATAATATACATTCTGTTATTCCAAGCCCAGTTAGCAAGCTAAGTCAGTCACTAACGCGTATCCACGTCTCTGTAGGCGAACCAGAGCCTCGTCGATCCGTGCGAGCCACAAAAGGTCAACACACAAAAGCATTTGATCAACTCGAGAACGGACCGGAACCTGTGAAGCGACGCCAGACCAAAAAGAACAGCAAGAAAACGACCGAGAAGGACGAGAAGCAGGACGAGGATGAAGAAATCATACGTTGCATCTGCGGTGCTACTACGCAGGACGACGATGATACGAACGAACCGTGGATTGCATGCGACAAGTGTGGTGCTTGGCAACACAATGTGTGTATGGGCATGAGTGTTTTTACGGAAGATTTAACTAGAGATTATTTCTGCGAACAATGCGCGCCCGAAGATCACAAGACTACCCTGGAGGCTATGAAGAAAGGGGAGAGGCCGTGGGAGGAGCGTAGGCATAAGTATGAAGAAGAGAAGAAGCGCAAAAAGGGGGGTAGGAAAAGTAAGGGAAAGCGCGTAAGCGATCCTAAGGACCGTTCATCACCGAGTACATCTACTACGAAGGCAAAGGCATCTCCTACCCCCGATGCGAAAAAGGATGAAAGTACCCCTGAGTCGGCTTCTAAGGGCAAGCGCAAAGCTCGGGATCAGTCACAAGGGCCACATAGCAAGCTTCGCAAGGTTTCAGATGTACAGGCAGTTCCGTCAAGTCCGGCATACACTCCTCCGGATGACTTGCCCGAGAGCATTCAGAAGCTTGAAGGCCCTCGAAGACAAGCAGCCTTAGGCTTGCAGAAATCCCTTGATGCGGCCGTCGACCTTACTGAGAAGAGAAAGCTATATGCCATCCCTCAAGGCTCATCCAAAAAGGACATTACTGAACGATTAGCTATCGAGGTTGAACGAGCCTTTCAAGACACTCACCCGAACACTTCTCATAATGCATCCCAACTTCGCGCACTGTTCTTCAGTCTGAAGAATAATGTAGAACTTGCTAGCCAGGTCCTGAACAGGACATTGCCACCTACATCCTTTGTAGTGATGACTGGCGACCAGCTTGCCACCAAAGAGCAGCAGCGTGAGACAGCCGAGATGAAAGCGCGGGCGGAGAAGCAATCCATTCTGATCACTGAAGATGGCCCACGGGTACGACGAACTCACAAAGGAGAGGAAGTTGTTGAAGGGGATCACCTTACAGTGGAATTAGATGAAGCCCCGTCTAATCTTCGCCGAAAGGGTGTTAGAGAAGCGAGTGAGGCCGCCAATGCGAGCAATGACGTGACTGCGTCATCGGCAGATGGAGTAGCGTCTCCTACGAATGCTGGTAGCCGTTCTAGCTCATCTGCGGTGCCTCTTCGGGTCGATACTCAAGCACACCAGCACTCGCCTAGAAAATCAGACTTCGATATTGGTAAAGTCTTCTCAAGCGTGCGATCCCCCTCGGTATCCCATCAAAGACGAACTTCTACACAAGTTCAGTCGGCCGGTCCCGGCGACGATCCCGAAGTCGATCGACTACTTCAGGAGGACGGCAACGAATCTCCGCCATACTCACCGACGGAGCACATTGATCCTGATATCGTGTGGCGCGGTCCCCTTGTTATGACCAATGTGGCCGAGGTTGATACCGTAGCGAGGTATGCTGGCGGAGCTGATCTCAGCAAGGTTAGGAACATTGCATGGAAAGATCTGATACCACCTCTTCTCACAGTCGCTGGGCGTATCGCGGAAGAGAAAGCTATACCGTATCTATGCGGGTTGAGGTATAACAACCAGGTAGACTTAGTCATTACCAGTTTGTCTCCAAGCCACCCCACGGACCCTGCCGCGCAAAAGCAATTCTTAGCCGTCATCGAATACTTCCAATCTAAGAAACGATATGGCGTTGTCGGTGAAAAGAAGCTAGGCAATGTGAGAGATACCTACTTAGTGCCTGTGGCAGAGGGCGATGGTCCGATCCCAGAACCATTGCAGAACATTGGAGATCACCTCATCCCTCTGAAGCGTTCTGAGCCTATGCTTCTAATGATCTTTGTCTATCGGGATGAGAGACAGGCGCAGATCCCGATAGATCAACAGCGATCTGAGTTGCAGACCACCGCATCGGCAACACCAACCCAAGGTACACCAATGCCGAGGCCATCACTCTCAGGCCCATCATGGTCACCCGCAACACCTCAAGGGTCCTTCGGCACGGCCTTATCTCAGCCACAATATAGTCAAACGCCGATTCCGCCTCCCAAGATTCCAGGCCACCCGACACCAGTAGTGCCGCCACGTCAGGCACCGCCAGCAACCGCGCCGCAAGTCGCACAAGACCCTATGGTCCCGGCTTTACGAGCTGCGCAGGCTGAAGGCGAGATGAAGGCTCGTCAGGTTCTTGGCCCTCTATTTTCTAGTTCGACCGTTGCCTTCCTACTTCCTCATGCCGCTCGCATGAAAGAAGGCGAGTGGACTGCTGTTCGTAGAGCTCTGGAACGCGATCCACGAGCCCGTGATGATTTACAACTTCTGAGCAAGCTTTTGACTGAAGAGGGCAACAATCACCGTAAGAATGGTCCGCAGCCCAACCCAGTTCCCTCCGGTGTCGCCCAGACCACGCTTGCGGCAACGATTGAAGGTTCGGCGCCAGCGGTCCAGCCTAATACATGATTCTTCTCATTCACCGATCAAAGCGACAGTTCTGTTCGAATAAATATGTATTCCAATCTCAGTGGTCAGAATTGGGTCATTGTGGTTAATGAGCCCTCGGTATGGACTACGAGCTCTTGAGACGGTTTGATTCTTGAAAGCGTGCCCGCTCAACGCTGGGCTCGCATAGCACGCTATAATGATTGGCCTAGAGGGGAGGCTATGGCACCCCTGAGCAAACAATTCCAATCAAAATAGACACCACTTATCTTTCCAACTTTTACTTGCTTCACTTGCTCTGTTCCGTTCTATTCCAAGTTTATGCCGGTCTGCATTGAGATCCTGCCTAATGTCTTGACAAGATAACGTTTAAGATCCGTAAAGGTCATGCTCTCAAGGTAACCTGCACACACTCGATGATACCAGATCCATAAACCTTGGATGGTCTTCGCCATTTTGCACATTTCGACTAGGAGCCGGGTTGAATCGTGACTCATCGATCCGCTCTAGGGTCGGTTGTAATTACCAAACACCATTCGTTGGCCCTTGCTAGCCATTTCAATCAATGTACAGAGCCTCGGTGATTCTACTTAATGCAGATACGTGTCAGCATAGTCACCATCCCATGAAGAAGATGGTGACTCGATAAAACAAAAACACGTTTAAGCTCTAAAGCTAGTCTTTTAGCAATCACCAAGGTCAGTTTTAAGACTAACTGGCACGTATTGTCTTTTATGAGGATAGGGGCTAACGTTTGGCAGATAACTTGAGCATCTCTGCGGCGTTCCGGTCGCCATTTTCTCCTCAGTTCAGTATCGAGTTTTGTACTCAAGTTCTGTTGGTTAAGGGAGTTGGGGGGGATGGAAAATGTTGCTATAGCTTAATGTCTCTTCGCATAACTGGCCCGATCCTGTAGCATTTCAGGTTTACTTTGCGGAAAAAAGAAAAAAGAAATAAATACGGTTTGAGTTTGCTCATGAACATTTATGATCAGGCCCGATAATAGTTGATTCAAGTTTCGTAATCGTCAACGTCTAGGGTAAATGTTACATCGTCACGCGTTGAGCTTCTTAATATGAACTTTTAAGCCTGATACGTTGGCAAGATAAGTAAGATCCATGCTATTGGAAGTAACCGCGACTATTGTATTAGTTGGTATCTCTTGAAAAGCCCGTGGGGTTCTCTATATGCCGTGCATGACCCGACGTGAAACGTAACCTCTGGAGGATTCCATCGGGCAGCATAATTCGTCTTAGGAGTGGACTTCCCCGTATTACCCCAGGCCAGCCAGCACTTCGTCATCCGTCTACCCCTTACGTGCCCCAAGTATCTATCTATCTCTGCATCTCGCGTACATACCTATGCACGTGTCTCCTTCCGTTATTGGAAGGGTATCTGGGCAGATGCGGCTGTTATCGTCCGCGTAGTTAGACCAGACCAGGCTCTCGCTTGCTTGTGATAGTATTAGTAACGTTGACGCTCCACCACCAAGTCTCGATGATAGGGCGAGTTCAGGGGCCCCGCGATCTCGAAGATGACGGGCTTGGATGGCCGCAGGGCCAAGCTTGTAGTCTGCTGGAACGACGAACCCGGCGATGGACGTGTTACCACTCACGGAGCCGTCTCCTACTGCTTCTATTGAGGCATTTAGCGGACGTACCTAGGTATATATGACCTGGCTACCTAGGTAGGTATGTTTCTTCTAGGCTGCAGCTGTGCTTTGCCTTGTTTTCTCTGCCTTGCTACGGTGTTGGCTGGGGGGAAATATCCTTGCTCGCTCGCTTGTGTTTTTGCCAGCTCACCTCACTCTCGTAGATACCCTGTACCTGGAGTTAGGCTGAGAGAGAGAGAGAGATATTTACTCACTCTGGAGATCTACAATCCCGTTGGTCAGCAGCACAGGCCCCAGGTTCCCCGGGCGCGGCGCCATCGACCATTCCTCGTCGTAGCGCTCGATGCCCCAGAGCATGGTGTACTGGAGCGGGATACCTGCCAACTGCTCGATGGTGGCGTTGAACGGGTCGCCTGGTTTGATAGCGCTCGGGATACCGATGCGGTAGAGCCGCGCCTCGGCTATTCCAGCGGCGGCCAGCGTAGCCGATATACATAGCGCGAAAGGACAACCACATCTTGTTTTCTTGGTGGACTATTTAGCGATTTTGCCACCTCCGCCTTGTATAATGCTGACGACGATCACTGGGTCTAGTGTAGCTGCCCGACCGCATTTAGCGCGGGCGTAGGTAGGTTTCATCTTGATATTTACATATGGCCTTGCGGTACTTATTGAACTTACTCGGGCTCGGAGAGGAGGGTCTGGATAGTGAGGTAGGTAGATAGGGGATTTTTTCGGGTGCGACTGTTTGCGATCTACGTATCATACGAGCGAACCTATGGAGATATGTATGGAGATGACCTCGCGGTCTAGAAGCGTAGCCTACCTTGGATCTGCAAATTTCGCCATACAGACCGGCTCGTGGAGGGCCGAGGCGGCTTATAGTGTATGGGTTTTGATTAAGAGATCCCGCCATACATAGTTCCTAAAGTTGCCACCCACTGGCTATTCAGGCTCGAGGAGTTGGATTTCTCCTATTGGTGAGAAGTTGTTACGGCGCGATCCGAAGTTAGGGTACCCGGCACTTGATACGCTACTTTAGTTTAGTAAATACTTTAGTTATTTGACAATGCCTAACAGGTAGGTAGATAGATGATGGATTACATGGTTACATACATATATCTGGCTACCCAAACTTCGCACATTGGGCTACTAATGAGAAAAAAGAAGAGAGAAAAAAAACTTGTTAAACCCGGCCTGTTGGCAAGCTGGCAAGCTGATGAAACCGCTAACACGGCTACTACCGCATTCGGTTGTTGATAGGAGTTATGATTGGTTCAATTCAAGAGAGGTACCTAATCTGGGTACTTAAAGATACCTACATGTACCCCAACACGCCCAAGAGCCCAGTCGTGTACTTCTAGAACCGTGGAGAAAAGACTTTGTTTACCGAAGCACCAATAAGATGAAATATCACAACTTTTCGTTTGCTTTCCGTTGCCACAGAAAGAAAGATTAGATTTTTTGACAATTTGAAAAAATATATTGAATTGAATTAAATAGAATCCACGAATTACGATTGCTGAGTTTCTAATTGCAACCCTTCCATGTTCCCCCGTTCGAGCTCGTGCTCATTGTCTAGACCGGATTACATGATGACCTGATAACAACAAGGCATGACTGACGTCCGACAACCTTACACTAGCAGTACACGTCGTGAGGGCGAAATTAACATGATATGAGGTCTTCCCTTTGCTTCCTTTTCCCGGTAAACCCCCCAATCTCATGTTCCATTTTCGCTTTCCCCTCCCGATTCCCCCCCCCCCCCCCCAATTTGATGATGATGATATGTAGAATAACAAGTAACAAGTAGAGAAACATGTAATGAGAATGATGATAGTAGTGAACAAAGGGAAGAAAAAAAAAGGGTAAATGCTATGACGGCGGTGTAAGTTGTAGAATATGGCTACAATCCCCCTTGACAGTTTTGAACAATCTATGGCTTGTTCAGTCTCCCCCTCGTACACGATGATGGTGGTGGTGGTGATGATGATGATGATGACAGCAGCGTTCGAAATAATACAGCTGACAACAACACGACAAACTAAAAATATTCGAGCCCCTCCCCCTCGCTCGTCCGTGCTTTTTGTGTATCCCGTAGTTAATAACCCATACCCGTGTAGACCCGCGACAGCGACAGAATCGTTCTGCTCGTAAGCAAGTAAGCCGTCAGTCTTGGTCGAAGATCTCTCAATTCTCATATTCCTCCGCTCTATCGTTTTCCCGTTGGACTCGTATTGTCGTAGTATTATTTTCATCATGATGGTATTGGTATTGGTGTTGGTGTTGTTGATGATGATGTTTGATTTTTTTTTTTCTCTATCCCGGACCTCGATTAATATTTGAGTGGACTTTCCCACTCTCTTGGCGTGACCAGCAGCCTGTAATTTATAATGGCGACTTGTCTCTCTTCTTGAGCGTATCGCGCGACATGACGAGTATGTTGCCGTCCTTGTCCGAGGGGTTGCGGACGAAGATTAGGCTGTTTGATGGTGAGCGGCTCTGACGCTTGTTGTTGCGCGACTTGGATCGGTCCTTGGACCGGTCTTTGTCGTGTAGCTTGTCTTGCAGCTTGCTCACGAGTGATTGTAGGTCGATGATTTGGGCTGTAGATGATGCCTGTGTCGCAGTGGCTGTAGAGAGTTGTATGTTCGCCGTGTCAAGTCGCATAGTTAATGAATGCACTTGCTCGACTAGGCCGGGTACCTTGTCCGCTTCGGCCTGGAGATCCTTGATCTTGCCTTCGAGGTCCGTCTTCTCCTGGGTTAGAGCCGTGACCCTATCAGATTCGGCCTGGAGGTCTTTAGATTTCGCCTCCAACTTGGCCTCGAGATCGGTCTTCTCTTGAGTTAGCGCGGGAATCTTGCTGGCTTCGGTCTGGAGGTCGTTCGTCTTGACCTCCAGGTCCGACTTCTCCTGTGCGAGCACGGAGACCTTGCCCTCAAGTTCCTTCACGCTCCCTTCGAGAGTGGCCTTCTCCTCGTGAAGCTTGGTAAGGCCTGAACCCTCTTCTAGGTTCTTAGCGACAGCGGCGATCTTGTCCTTCTCCTCTTGCAGCACCTTGGCAGCTTCTTGGTGCTTTTCGACATCAGCTTCAAGTCCCTTGGACCGCTCCTCAAGTCCCTTCGAGCGTTCCTCGCAACCTGCGTGTTCCCGACGGAGCTTCTCGAGGTCGTCGTACACCTTTCCGAGATCAGCGGTGCGGATGATCAACTGTTCTTTCTCCGATTCGAGAGTCTTATTATACTCCCGTACCAGGCTGAGGTCGTTCTCGACGTTGACTAAGTTAGCCCGAACATTCACCAGTTCTGCGTCAAGCCGTAGTCGCTCTGATGCAAGGGAGATGTTAGCTTCCTTGGATCCGGCAATCTCGGTGACTAGACCGTCAATTCTTGACTGCTTGTCGTCGATTATCGTCTTGAAATCCAAAGCTTGCTTGTCGAGCTCCTGCTTGGAGAATTCCAACTGCTTTCCTAGATCATCCCTGGTAGCTTCCAGTTGTTTCTCAAGGTCGCCCTTGGTCGTCTCAAGCTGCTTCTCGAGATCATCCTTGGTCGCTGCGAGTTGCTTCTCAAGATCGTCTCTGGCCGTCTTGGCGACGTCGAGCTGTTCTTGAAGTTCTTTCTTCTCGGAATGTGCAGTCTCGAGTTGCTTCTCGACATCTTCCCTACTGGCCTTCACCGACTCGATGTCCTTCTCGAGAGATTGCTTGTCGGACTCGAGCGATGCGACATGTACCCTAAGAGACTGAATATCTCGCTCAAAGCATCTGACCTTCTCTTCAAGGGCAGCCCTCTCGTCTCGAAGGTCCTCAACTCGGTTGTATAGCTTCTGGTTATCCTTGTCGAGTGCTGCATTCTCCTCTCTGACGGGTCCGGTGTTGGCCTCCAGAGATTTGATCTTGGATAAGAATCTAGAGGCGTCCGCCCGAGCCTGGTCTCTCTCTGACGTCAACTCCTTGACTTCGCAGTCTAGTTCCCTGAGTTCGTTGTTCAAATCTTTGACTTCGGTGCTCAGATCTTTAATATCCTTATTGCGAGCGCCCATTTGTCTTTCGAAGCTTGCTGTTGTGTGCTCCAGGGTTTCGATATCACGTCTGAGTGCGTCTTCCTGTTCTCTTTGAGCGGCGTCTCGTACTGCCAGTTCCCGCTCGAGCTCGACGACCTGCTGCTCAAACCTGTCACGCATGTGCTTGAGACTGTCTCGTTCCCTCTCTGCCTCTATTAACATGCCTTGCTGTAGTTGTAAGTTGCTGCGGAATTCGTCAGAAATCTGCCGTTGCTCCTCGAGGTCTCTTAAGATAAGCTCCTTTGAGTTGCGCTCGATGTTCAGGACGCGCACGATCTCCTTGTTCTCTTTTCCCCTAGTAGATAGTTGTACAGAAACATCATCCAGGTCCCTGCTTAGTCTACTCCGTTCTTGTCGGAGGGTATCAGTTTCTGACTCTAGTTGCTCAAGCTTGTACACGAGGTCGTTGTCTGGCTTCCGAGCGAGCTGAAGTTCCTGAGACTGCGAGGGGGCCTGCTGCGGCTTGGGTGGGACGAATTGAATGTGCACAGTCCTCTTCTTCTCTGGGACGGGAGGTTTAGATACCTCCGAAGGCGCCCTAGATCGCGTCCGCGTCCTGGCTCTGTTTGAAGCTGCTGATGGTACGTGGCGTACATGTTTGACTTGGGTCGAGGGTTTAGAGGGCTTAGGGGGAACACTAGAATCTGATATGACGCTAGTAGCCTGTGTGTTGACAGAGAGCTCTGACGATGCCGATTGGGAGTCAGTTTCATAGGATGTATATCTGTCACTGTCCGAGTGGTATGTTGGTGATGGGGGTCCCGAAGGCGTGTACATTTGTTGTTCTGGCCTCGAGACTCTGTAAAAGCGTGCGGCAAGGGGATCTTGCGGTCGCGCGGGTGGTGTTGGGTTCTTTAGGATACCTCTTAGAGGACCTGGTTGTGATGTTGTTGTTGTTGTGACTGCCCGGCTATGGGTTGTCTCTGCTTCGGATGCGGCCGGCCGTGATCTTGACCGGGGCCGCTCGGCGATTGCTGGGGCTGGGGTTGGGAATCCGCCGGGCATGGCGAATGCCCGCTCCACGGGTCGGCTTGTTCGCACGTCCATCTTAATTCTTCTTCTTCTTCTTCCTCTTCTTCTTATTCTTCTTATCTCTCTTCTCCTTTCAGTATGTCGTATTCTGGGTGGAATTGGTAAGTTAGAGTTGTTATCAAGTGTGCCCAGGTTAGTTCGGCTAGTGTAGTCTCTTGAATTGGAGTTGAAGTGGTGAGGTGCTGGCTCATTTCGGTGGGCTTGGTCAGGTTTTTGTTGTCTGGGAATAACGAGACAAGGTGAGGCAAACGGATGAAGACGTAGCACGGAAGGGTTTTTGTCGACTTTCCTAAGTTAGGATCAGGAGACCCAAAGGGAAGGCTGACGGGTACTTGAATAATAAAC